GGAATCTAACAGATACAGATTTCAAAACACTGGTTGTAAGGATGCTCAAGGAACTTAGGACCTCAACAGCATAAAAAAGATCCAGTCAGAAATGAAGAATACACTAACTGAAATAATAATTTACAGGGAAACAACAGTGGAGTTGATGAAGCCGAGAATCAAATCAATGATTTGGAACATAACCGAAAAACAACCAATCAGAACAACAAGGAAAAAGAATCCAAAAAAAGGTGGGGGATAGTGTAAGCAACCCCTGGGACAACTTAAAGAGGTACAACATTTGCATCCGGGGTGTCATAAGGAGAAGAGAGGGAGCAAGAAATTAAAAACTTATTTGAAAAAGTAAAGAAAATGTCCCGAATTTTGGTGAAGGAAATAGACATACAAGTCCAGGAAGCACAGAGAGTCCCACACAAGATGGATGCAAAGAGGCCCACTCCAAGACACATAATTGAAATGTCAACAGTTATCCCTGACTGGTGTGGCTCAGTGGATTGAGCACCAGCCTGCAGCAAACCCAAGGGTCACTGGTTCAATTCCCAGTCAGGGCACGTGCCTGGGTTGTGGGCTCAATCCACTCTCCCATTGATGTTTTCCTCTGCCCCTCCTTTCCACTCTCTCTCAAGTGAGAATAAAAACTACCAAAACATCTGCCAATGAATATATAAATGAATGGAACAACAAGTTGATGTTTCTCAAGTCAATTTACAAAAAAAAAAAAAAAGTAAGAATCAGTGAAATACTTTCATGGCCTCATGACAACATTCTTGTCAGCAACAGACCGAAGGTACAACAGTGGCCCCCTAACATTATAATGGAGCTGAAAAGTTCCCATCACCTAGTGAAAGAGCCATCAAAAGCAAAACACATTACTTAGGTGTTTGTGATGATGCTGGTAAACAAACCTACACTGCCAGTTGTACAAAAGTAGAGCACATACAATTCTGTACAGTACCTAATACTGGGTAACAAAAGACTTGTTTACGTATTTACTTTTTTAAAAGATTTTATTTATTTTCAGAGAGGAAGAGAGGAAGAGAGAGAAACATCAATTGGTTGCCTCTTGTTTGCCCCCAAATGGGGAACCGGCTGGCAACCCAGGCATGTGCCCTGACAGGTAACTGAACCTTTCAGTTCACAGGCCACCACTCAATCCACTGAGCTACACCAAGGGATATTTGTATATTTACTTTTTATCTTTATTTAAGAGTGTGCTCTTTCTCCTTATTTAAAAAAAAGTGCTGTAGCCCAGGCTGGTGTGGCTTAGTGGATTGAGTGCCAGCTTGTGAACCAAATAGTCACTGGTTCGATTCCTAGTCAGGGCACATACTTGGGTTTCAGGCCAGGTCCCCAGTAGGGGGCGTGTGAGAGGCAACCACACATTGATGTTTCTCTCTCTTGCTCCCTTCCCCCTCTGTAAAAATAAATAAATAAATAAAACTTTTAAGTGCTGTAAAGCACTGAGCCAGATTATGCTGGCAGCAGCCTCATACATACCATGCTTATCATGTCTCTTAATTATGTGATTCCTTTCTCTTGTGATTGATTTAATCTCATTTTGTGATGTAGTTCAGGTTTGTAGCCTAGGAGCTACAGGCTATACCATGCAGCCTAGGCATGTAGTAGGCTATACCATCTTGCTACAGACTACAGGGGGTTCCTCCCCACCTATCTGGGTTCGTTTTGCCCGCCACCTGAGGAAAGATGCCTCTTAATACCAGAGATCAGTGAAAAGAAAGGGAATTTATTATTCATTTGAAATAACACAAACTAAAGTTCCCCACAAATCCTCCCGGCACCCTACATGTGGCAAAAAGGAGCACTTCCAAAGCCTCGTGGTCCTGACTCTCACCCAAGGCCTCATGGTCCCAACCAAGACCCAAAGCTGCGTAGTCCTAAACAGACGTGTGGTCCCAAAAAGAAAGATGCCCAATAGCTGCTGTGCCTCCGTTTAAATCCCAGCGCTAATTTTCCTCTTCAGCCCCATTTCCGGCTCCTCTCACAACTGGCCACAGCTGCCCTCACTCTGGGCAGGTGTGGCCCTATGGTGTGGAGTCAATTATCTCCTAGCTCTTCTGGACCCTATTACAAATCCCTCTTTGGGGCTCCCCTCTTGGCTGCACCCTGTTACAATCTCAGTTTGTGTGAGTATACGCTGATGCCCACAACAATGATGAAATCACCTAATGAGGCATTTCTCAGAACAGATTCCCATGTTAAGTGGCACGTGAGTGTATTATCAAACTGTTGCAAAGTATTAAACTGGAAATGAGAAATTGAGATGAACATAATCCCACCTGTTTGGTCTTGGGCTTTGCCACTTACTAGCTTTCTCAGAACAAATTTCCAAAAAATGTACTCTCTTTCTCACTTGGAATTAAGCTGGACTAAGATCTCTTACTTGGAAATACTTTGTACTGGTCACACCTTACTCGACCTTAAATACCATGGCAGGAGTTGGGCAGCGGAAGTACTGTAAGTCCCTGACTGACTGACTGACTGACTGATTTAATTGATTGATTTTTTAGAGAGGAAGGCAGGGAGAGAGGGAAAGGAATATCTATGTGAGACAGAAACATCAGTCGGCTGCCTCTCACATGTGCCCCAGGTGGGGACTGAACTCCACAGCCTAAGCCTGGGCCCCAACCTGGAACTGAACAGGCAACCCTTCACTTTGCAGGAAGATGCCTGTCCAACTAAGTCACATCAGTCACATCAGGGTGTAAATCCCTGGCTTGTTTAAAAAGGGGTTTTTATTTAGAACCTGGGGCTAGTTCAGAAATCCTGCCTCTGATGTATACATATATTTCGAGAGGTGGTCGAGAGATTCGGCCAGGAGGAATGGGCCTACATGGCCCCTGGCTGGTGTCAAGTGAAGGGTATCTTTCTGTATTTGATTCCTTCATCTGATAGACTCATTATATTTTCTCAGAACTCTCATTCCTTGATCTGTGATGATTATCTTCCCTCTCCAGCTAGAAAAACAGGAATCAGAATGGGAGTTAGGGAGAGACTGCTAGTCTTAATGGGACTTAGTTATGAAAAAACTATAGTTGCTTTCAGAGAAGCCCAGTGCAAAGAAAAGCTTTTCAGTCTAGGGCAAAGACATGGAAGTATGCTCAGAGGTCCTGCAGATCTGTCTCTTGCTTCAACAATGTTTGGACAGAACAAACCCAGTGATGCCCCTTCTTCCAGCCTCCCACCACCTTCCAACCTCATTTCTAGTTGCAACTTTCAGGAATTAACTTAGTGATCCTCAGCCTTTGGGACCAGCCAACACCATTTTTTTTTAATATTTTATTTATTTATTTTTTAGAGAGGGAAGGGAGGGAGGGAGAGAGAGAGAGAGAGAGAGAGAGAAACATCAATGTGCGGTTGCTGGGGGTTATGGCCTGCAACCCAGGAATGTACCCTGGCTGGGAATCGAACCTGGGACACTTTGGTTCCCAGCCCGCGCTCAATCCACTGAGCTACGCCAGCCAGGGCTCATTTTTTTTTTTTTTAATCTTAACCCCTTATTGTCAAGCAGCCATAGCTCCCAGTTTTGTCAGAATAATTTCACCAAGGTGGAGGCCACCATTAACCACCTGGTTAACTTGCACCTGCAGGCCTCCTATGCCTTCTGTTTGAGCTTCTATTTTGATGCGAGGATGTGGCTCTGCAGTGCACAGGCCACTTCTCAAGAAGGCTAAGGAGAAGCACAAGTGCACCAAGCATCTCTTAAAGATATAAAACAAGCAAGGCAGCAATACCCTCTTTCAGGACATGCAGAAGCCTTTCCAAAATGAGTGGGATAAAATCCAGGGCACCACAGAAACCTCTATGGTCATGGAGAAGAAGCTGAATCTGGCCCTTTTGGGTCTGCATGCCCTGGGTTCAGCCCGCAAAGACCCCATTTCTTAACTTCCTGGAGGACCACTTCCTATTGATAGATGAGGTGAAATTCATCAAGGAGAAGGGGGACAACCTGACAACCCTCCACAGGCTGCCAGCCCCCAGGCTGGAGTGGGCACGTGTCTCTTCAAAAGGCTCCCCTTCAAACATGACTAGGAGCCTGCAGAGCTCAGAGACCTCTGAGGGGCCCCTCTGCATTCCCCTGGTGTCAAGCTCTGCCTGAGCTTCTCCCTGCAGCCCCTACAGAGCCTTTTAACCACCCTGGAGCCCTCTCCTATGTCCTGAACCAAATGGAAACAAAGGTTTTTGCAAAGAAAAAAAAAAAAAAGACATGGTTTCCTGGCAGAAGGCTCATACTCTGTGTTCAAGGAATGGAGAATGACACAAACTTTAGTTACATCTACTTGGACAAAGCAAGGATGAACAAGATGACACTTCCCTGCCCTGGCTGGCATAGCTCAGTGGATTGAGCATGGGCTGAGAGCCACAGGTTTGGTTTGATTCCCATTCAGGGCACACGCCTGGGTTGCAGGCCAGGTGCCCAGTGGGGGCCATGTGAGAGGCAACCACACATTGATATTTCTCTCCCTCTCTTTCTCCTTTCTTTCCCCTCTCTAAAAATAGGTAAAATCTTTAAAAAACATAGTGATTCATGTGAAATTAAAATATTTAAAAAATAAAAGATGACACTTCCCTGCCAAAGGCTGTGATCAGTGATGGAGTGTGTCACATGGGCCCGATGGTCTAGGGGGCACTGTTTATTCTCCTCAATTTTCTTAATATGGGAAGAAAAACCAAGGTGTCACATTAGAGACTTGCCTGTCTCACGCAAGGAGGTGGAGCAGACTTTGTGATTTTTTTTCAAGCCAAGGCCTCCTCCCAAAGGTGGTGGAGCCTTCCACACCCATTCCTCCAGACCTGCCCAGGCCTGTGGTTGTGTCGGGAGCTAAAGGCTCCTCCCCAAACAAACTCGTTACCGTAGAGACCCAATAAACCAGGCCTTTCCTTTCTGCCTCTGGCTTTCTGTTTCATCCTTTCTCTTTCCCCTACTCTCTGTCCTGTCTTCTTCAGGTCTTGGCTTTGTGTCACGGTAGGGGTTCCATCCCATGGCCTCCCACACTGGGGAGCACGGGCTCCTGCCCTGCGGGTCCTGCGGCATGGTTTTCCACTCCTGGGCCCTGTTGGCTGCTCACACTCAGCGCTTCTGCATAGGCCGATTGACCCAGGAGGTGACACTTGGAGCACAGCCCTCGAAAGACTTGGAACCACAAGGCTCCATGGTAAGGGGCTCCCTCCATGGCCCTGGGTGGTTATTCAGGCCACCCTGACCCTTGGATTCCTTATCCCACACGCTGTGTCCAGGTTGTGTCACAAGGACACCAAGGATTCCAAGACCAGGAGGCCAGCAAATCGGCTCTAAGGAGGCTAACAGAGGAGGTACACACGGGCTTGAGTCTGAGCATTCTCCCCAAACCTATCGATAATGCCTCGGGTTAACCCTACATGGAGATTGCAGCGTTACTGTAATTCTAGGTGCAGGGGCTGCGGCTGTATCTGCAGGAAATGCAACCCGGGATAACAATGATTCCCAAGGAGTCAGCGGGGCCCTGGGGGCACTCAAAGTCTCCGACCCGGGGTCCCACCTCTGAGGCCGCTGGGAATCCCGGCGAGCGGCTGCGGGAGCTGCACTGGAACCACACAAGGCGTGTGGCAGAAACGGAAGCACAGAGCAGGGCTCTGGAGCTACGCAGCGAAGGTGAGGGGAGGAAGGGGCCCTCGGGGACCCTTCCCTTGGTCTGAAGTTATTCTAACCCATTTTCACTTGGTCCCTTACTCAGGACTGAACCAGCGCCTCCAAGGTTTGGCCCGGACCAGGGGCGGTATAGCACGGCTGTTAGGCCTGGAGCGGGAGCTTCGAGAACTCCGGGCTGAGGCGGGGCGAACCAGGGGGGCTCTAGAGGTGTTGGGAACTCGCGTTCAGCAGCTGCAGGCCGAGCCCAGGTGAGGCCCGCGCGCGGGATCCCGGAGCTGCGCTGCGTGGGCCTGCTAGAGGGGCCGGGGTCTGGGGAGCCCGGGAGGGGCCGGATGAATACAATACGTAGGTCGGAAAGCAGCGGGGAGGCTGCACGTGTGAGTTCGGGAAGGGGTGGATAGGCCAGAGCTGTGGATCCGTGACAGCGACCCCACTCCAGGACCGGGCTGAACTCCATGCGAGAGGCAGAACTCTATTGTCCGGTGCTGCAGTCCAACCCAGGGACTCTGGCTGCGGAGATCGGGTGAGGTCCGAGGTCCGGGGCCCTGGGACTGCTGTGCGGGGAAGCCCTGTGCAGCATTGAAAAGACGCTCTTGCCTTCCTGTCTCCTACTCCCTAGAGCCCTGCGAGAGGCCTACATTCGAGGTGGGGGCCGGGACCCTGGCGTTCTGGGCCAGATATGGCAGTTGCAAATGGAGGCGTCAGCTCTGGAGCTTCAGCGGTCGCGGACCCGCAGGGGTGAATGTGGGGTGGGGGCAGCTAGGAGGACACCTCAGAAGCAGTGGTCCTATTGTTGGAAGGAGAAAAGGGCGGTGAGGGAGGGCATATTTGGCATGGAAACTGCTTAAGCAAAAACCTTGAGGTAGAAAACCTGGGTGGCCTTTGTAGCAGTGACTAGAATGTTACTTAACAAGCCCACCCTTGTCCAGAGAGTTCTAAAGTCAGAGAGCTGCTCAGAGCCAGACCAAGCTGGTCACCAGAGGTCAAAGGTGACAGGTCAGACTTGTTCATCACAGGAAGGCAGGCAGGTTCCACATCTGGGGAGCTTCTTGTCGTGGAGGCTGAAAACCAGCACCTGGAGACAGAAATCCTGGCTTTGCAGATGCAGAGGAGCGCAGGCTCGGCGCCCTGGGGTCAGTGAGCACTTCCATCCCACCCTGCCAGACCTCCCGGAGGGCCAGGGTTAGAGAGCGATCATGCATGGGGATGAGACACTTGTTTGTGCCCATCTGTGTCCCAGTGCATCTCCAGGTGTCCCTGTGTGGGGGTATGGCTCTCACGGCAGGGTTATCAGCCCAGTTACTTGCTGTGTTCTGCTCACGGGTGCCCTTCTCTTCCTCTGCTCCTAGGCTCCAGGAAGCCACAGTTTGTGGTCAATCCCAGCCCACGCCTGAGAAGAAGGGAAGATCCCCCATGCCTCCCGCCACCGGTGGCTCCCCCACTGCCACCACTTCCACACTCTGCAGGCATTTTATTCTCAGGTGGCACAGAAAAGACTGTGAGAACCAAGGCTTGGGGTGGGGACAGCTCTGCTCTTTGTAACTGGGGAAGCATAGGCACCTAGGAAGCTTTCTAGAGATTCAACTCTTCCTCACAGTGGCAGCTTCCTGGAGCCATGACCAGGAACCTGGGCGTGGATCCACACTTTGTTCTGCCCACAACTGATGTTCTGGGCCCTGCACCCTATGACCCTGGGTGAGGCTTGCTCCCTCCTTTCACATCCTGTGTAATTTGGTCACCACAGCTGGCTAAGGTCCAGCTTGGTTTGGAGAAACGAGAGGGGGCTTTGGGGTGATGGTGAGAGGAGTGCACAGAGGCTCAGAGACCTGTGTTTCCAGGGCTGGCCTGGTCATTTTCTATGACTTCCTGCGGGGCCTTGAGGCTTCTTGGATTTGGGTGCAACTGATGACTAGCTTGGCTCGAGATGGACAGCATACAGGAGGCACCACAGCTTTGCCCCCAGCCTTTTGCTTACCCTCTCCTCCAGCTCCTGGGCCCATGGGCAGCTGTGCCATCCTTGCCAGCAGGCAGCCTGTACCCAGGTCAGTAGGTGGGGATGATGTCTTTCATGCCCTTGCCGTGTTTTCTCATCTGGCTCTGAGGGCCAAGTTCTGGGAAGGGAGTAGAGCCAGTTCTGGCTTCACACCTCTTTTTCACTGCTTCAGGCTACCACCCTCAACATCAGTGTCTTTGGTCTGTGAGCTACAAGCCTGGCAGGGGCTGGCATGGGGTAGGGCACCACAACCAAAAGCCTGGGCCTCAGTGGTGCTCTTTGATGGGGATCAGAGGGTACTAAGTGGCCGCTGGCGTCTCCTACTTCGGGCCCTTCCTGTGGACCCCAGCCTTAGCCTTGGACAGCTGAATGGAATTCCCCAGGTGAGTGTGGAAAATGGGGATCGAGCCAACTCGAAGGTACAGATACTGTACCATTTCACCTCTTCCCAGGTAGGTCAGGCTGAGCTCTTTCTGCGGCTGGTGAATGCAAGAGATGCAGCTGCCCAGGCATTGGCAGAGATCAATCCAGCAAGTGCCCATGAGTATCAATACCCACCTCCGGTGAGGGCTCAACTGGAGCTAGGGATGCCATGGATGTGGTTGGTGTGGAATAGCCAGGCTTTGTTTGCCACTATGTGCCAAGTCACTACCAAATATTCTTTCTGTGGATTGTGACCCTCACACATCCTATGAGGTAACTACTGTGCAGAGACAAGGAAATCAAAGCACAGCGGGGTTAACTTGCTTCACCTAGGCTCTAAGGTAGTGCAGTCCAACCCCAGAACCTGTGATGTTAATCTGTACATAAACCTTCTGCTAACAACCTGCCTCCTCCCTGTTCCACAGGTGCCCAGCTCTTCTCTGGAGGCAAGCTCCTTTGCCCCAAGAACTGGCTTTGTTGATCCCTCTCTTCCTGCAGGAGAGGCCCTTGACAGCAGTCAGGGATAAAGAGGGTATGGGCTGGCACCAGCTTTGACCCACTGGCTTTGAGTCCAGGAGAAAGTGTATGAATAGCCTGTCATGTATAGGACGAGGGCCTAGATTGAGGCCTATCCCCACACCTGCAGCTCTACTACTGGTCTGATGAGTGTCTAGAAGCAAAAAGCTGATGAGCACAAAATGAGAACCAACCACAGTTCTACCATTTCTACCAAATGATAAACCAAAGTTTCTGGCCTTTACTGGTTTTCCTTTTGTAAAACATACTGATGAAGCCCTGGCTGGTGTAGCTCAGTGGATTGAGTGCGGGCTACGAACCAAAGTGTCGCAGGTTCGATTCCCACTCAGGGTACATGCCTGGGTTGCAGGCCATGACCCCCAGCAACCGCACATTGATGTTTCTCTCTCCCTCCCTACCCTCTAAAAAAAGAACAAAAAAACCCACCCATACTGATAAGAGGATTAAATGTATTTGTAGTATCACCTGGCATATAGGATATTCTGTGACTAATGGGGCACTCTTTAATCACAGCTAAAGGAACTCAATAAACTCATACCTTTTTGCTCAAGTCAACTTTATTGCCATACCCTTCAAGTATTTTCTCAGGATATCCTCCAGGGAGCCACATAGGCTCTCAAGGTGCCCATAAACAGTAAGCTCTTGTAACCTTGTATACTTGAGGCACGGTTCAAACACAAATGTGTATGGAGGTGGGAAGGAGTATGTTCACACGTGAATTCTAGCTAAAATTTTATATTGGTCCTGAACCCAGACCCTAATGTCAAAAACCCCTCTGCATACACACAATTAAGGACTTGCAATGGAAGGGCATCTTTGGGAAGTTCACAGCCTGACTCTGCAGCCACTTACAACCAGCTCCCCAAAAACTCAACTTACTTAGAGCAGGGGTCCCCACCTCCAGGCTTTGGACTGGTGCTGGTCTGGGCCTGTTCAGAACCAGGCCACACAGCAGGACCTGAGCATCAGTGTAATGTGCCTGGAACATCCCAAAACCATCCCTCTCCCCCACCACCCACGAAAAATGGTCTTTCACAAAACCAGCCCCTGCTGCCAAAAAGGCCCAGGACTGCTGATTTAGAGAAAATAGAAACTCGGGGTGGGGGGAGAGTTTAGTTGATAATCAAGGCTCCCTCTGCCTCTAACAATGTTCAAACAGCAAGATGTACCTAATGTCCATCCATCTCACGCCATCAAGTAGCCCTGTAAACCCCCTTAGGTAATAGCAGGTAGGCTGTTTGGAATTGGGAGCCAAATAGTGCCTAGTGCATAGCAGGTCCTTAAAGTAAGGGTCAGGTCACAGGCAGCTCAGCCTGTGCACTGGACATAGTGAGGGCCAAATGGGATGGCTTTTGTAGCAGGTACCCAAGCACTAGCTTCCGTAGAATGAGCAGTCAGGGTTCCAGGGCCAGTTTCTGCCTTTCTACTACACATCCCACCCTGAAGTGCTCCAGGAAGCCCAAGATCCCACTCTAAGATCTTTAAAGACAAATCCAGACCAGGAATTTTTTTTTTTTACTCTCTTTATTTGAGAAGCCAAAACTGCAGATGGGTAACAATTCCAAGTGTTGATATAGTTCAACCTTTCTGTACAGAAAATAATACAACTCAACCAACCAGCCTCCCCAGATATTTCCAACCACATTCAGAGGACATCAGAGTCAGTCCCACCTTCTGACCAGAAATCTCAAATCTCTACAACCAGCACACCAGTTTTCCTCAAGATCATTCCTGCCCTCCCCAAATTTCGTTAGAGGTGTTTCCCCTACTCCCCCAGGACAGGATTATGGCCTTAAGCGGAGAATAGGGGAATAAAAAACAGGTTCCACCCAAGGCCTGGCTTAGAGGCTGTTACCAGCTCACAGAGCCCATCACACAGCACCAGCACCGAAGAGCAAGTTCTTTGCCAAGTCTTGTTTTTTGTGGCCCCCGTCCTGGGACAGCACCACTGAAGGTCTGCACAACAGCCAGGTCAAGTATTTAAAACAAAAATGTAGCACCATTGGGCCAGCAGCCACACTTGATTTAATCACCTACACATTAAACAGGTATTTGGATTAGAACTTTCACAGAGATCAGTACAGAAAGGGGAAAAAAGTACCTTTGGCCACTATATAAAACTGGAGTGCTCCAAGGCACAGATTCAGCCAATATTTAAGGAAAAAAAATCATCAAAGCCTCAACCTTTGCGTACAATCTTTATTGAAGTTATACAAAAAGAATCCCCCAACAGTGAAAAAATACATTATATACAAAAACACTTTCCCTTGGGAGGAAGGCTCTGTTCCCTCTTAGCATGCAGTGCTTTCAACTGTAGCTCCAGCCTCCACTGTGCCCTCCACTGCTGCCCGGCTTTCAGCCTGATTTTCAGCCTGGAAGATAAACAGGGAGCCTGGGCATAAGTGACCCTTGTTCAAGTCATTCCATCTTATACAACTGAGTAGGCCTCAGTCAGAGGAAGTAAACAGGTCCCCTAAACCCTGCTTTGCTCCCTACACCAACAGGGCAATGACCGAAGTATAAAGCCAGTTTGTTAAATACTCTGTAATAGGGTTGACAGAGCCAATGCCATACATTACATGGAAATGAAAAAGCAGAAGTGACCCAATAGCCTTGCCAATTAAGTGTCTTCTTACACATTCAATTGAGGGGGACCTGTAGTATGTACATAGGTTCCATGGGTGAGACACCCAATAATCTATACCAAACTGTTTTCTGCATAACCTCATTGTTTTTATGAGGGTTACAACTCAAGCAATCCAAACAGGCTCCAGGTGGGAAACATGCACTTGGGAGACTGGTTTCCCCAGGCCCTGAGAACAAGGGGAAATGAGGCAAGAGTCCAAGCCCTGCTTAACTGCCCACCTCCTCCTCCATGTTTTCTGAAACTTCATTTCCACTGGAGACTGCATCCCCACCGCCTCCATTCACCTCCGGCTCTTGTTTGGCTTTCTTTGCATCATCTTTCCGAGGGCTCTCTTCCTCTGGTTTCCTCTAAAGATACAATTGTATAGTCTTCATAAATGTGCTTAATGTTTAAAAAAAAAAAAAAAAAGCAATTGCAAGACACTTCAAGATTCCTATCCCTAACCCTCACCCTAACCACAGGAGGCGATGCCAATATGTACTCTGTGGAATAAATTGGTCTGCCCCAACATACCTATCAGTCTCTCCGATGGAAGGGTGGGTGATAGTGAGTAGATATGAACAGTAAATAAACCACAAGTTTGAAAAGCAACACTTGAATCAGAAAGTAAGCAAGAGTTTAAGAGTACATGGTCTGTTACTAAATGACTGAAAGAAAACTGACCAGCTTCCTAAGATAGGCTGACTGGACCAATCCACAATAGCTTTCCTGATGGTCCTTGGGCCAGGAAGAGTATGCAAGTGAAACCTATCTTTACTTCCAAATCCTCACCACCTTTGCAAATACCTTTGCACCAGGTATTAGGAAAGGTACTCCTTGTGTACTGGGGGGACAGGGAGAAGACTCTGTGTAGATTTACCTTCTTTCTGACAAGGTGGGAAATATCAGTCACACAATTTGATGAAGAAGCACCATCTGTTGGCTTTCTATTGGCAATCTGACAAAAAGGAAGCCTGTTAGCAACGTACAGATATTTATAGGACAAAAAGTAAGTCTTCCCTGGCTGGTGTGGCTCAGTGGGTTGAGTGTTGGCCTGCAAACCAAAGGGCTGCCAGTTTGATTCCCAGTCTAGAACACATGCCTGAGTTGCATGCCAGCTCCCCAAGTAAAGGGGGGGTGGGGGTAGGGGGTTGGGAACACACATGCTGTGCATGGGAGAGGCAATCACACATTGATGTTTTGCTCCTTCTTTCTCCATTCCTTCCTCTCTCTAAAAATAGTCTTTTAAAAAGTTATCTTGCTCTGGCTAGTGTAGCTCAGTGGATTGAGCGTGGGCTGCGAACCAAAGCATCGCAGGTTCAATTCCCAGTCAGGGCATACACCTGGGTTGCAGGCCAGGTCCCCAGTGGGGGCCATGTGAGAGGCAACCACACAATGATATATATTCTCTCCCCCCTCCCCGCTTCTAAAAATAAATGAATAAAATCTTAAAACAAAGAAAAAAACGAAGAGAAAGACATGCATTTAAAAATAAATAAATAAATAAATAAATAAATAAAATTATCCTACCCCCCCCCCACGTCCTAACATTAAGCGACTCCCCAAAACAAAAAAATACCTTAACACTCACCATAGAAAGTGAAGAGCCTCCTCCACTAGGAGTAAAGCCAGAAGTAGAGCTCTCTACCTGTGAACAATGAGAAACCACAGTGGGTCCCAGGTTTTACCAGTTCACCCACAGTCCCACAACAGGTACCCACCAACCAAGCAACTTAATTAATACCTCAGATACTAGTGGTCTCCATATAATAGCAACATCTTCTACCCCCTCTACCCATACCAACCAGATGCTGCCCCCTCTCCCTACCCCGGGCACAGATAGAGTATAGATATTAAACTAAACCTTCCATATCCTATCATCACCCTGACACCCTTGCACCTAAAGGCAGAGCCAGGCAATCTGGGATTAAAAGCCTTCAATACCTCACTAACCTATACAGAGGAGTTCTAAGAGACAGAAATAGTAAAATATTATTTTTTCTTATACCATTAGAAGTAGCTTAACAAAAAAAGGTACAAATGAGAAAATTAAGGCTAAGAAAAGTTAAATAAACATGTCCATGGTCACATAGAGTAAAGAAAGAAAAGCAAATAGCAAAGAAAGAAAAGTCAAACTCAGAGTGTATTCTCTTAAGTATTATACTATTATGTTCCCTATTACCTCCAATTCCCTCGAAATCAAGCTATAACTAAAATTCCTGGCAAATAGAACACTAATACCATGATGCCTTAAATGATACTGAACATGCTACCCTGGCTGCTGTGGCTCAGTGGACTGAGCACCAGACTGTGAACCAACAGGTCGCTGGTTTGATTCCTGGTCAGGGCACATTCCTGGGATGCAGGCCAGGTCCCCAGTGGGTGGCGTATGAGAGGCAACCACACACCAATGTTTCCTTCCCTCTCTTTCCCCCTCCCTTCCCCTCTCTAAAGATTATTTAAAAAGATATTGAACATGCTATCATCAAAACTTCAAAAGGAAATGAAACCAAACCAACCAGAGTTGCTTTCAGAGCCAATTCAGCTACATTCCCACTGCGCTGGGACTCCTTTGCATCTTCTATCTTCTCTCTAATTTCAGGTAACAGTTCCTTTAGCTCCTCAATTTCTTTTTCATATTCAGTAGGCGATCCTTCAGCCTCCTTCATCTGCTCACTTAGTACGGCTAAAAGAACAGGCTCAATAAGTTATGAGAAAAGGATCTACTGTTTTAACCTTGTCAATTGCTGGATCCATCACGGTTGTTGTGAAAACAGCTGATGCTCACTCACCCATTCTCTTCTCGATGACTTCAATAGATTTGCTGAATTGTGCCACTGCCTCATCATACTGAGAGTTGTACCCATAGGCCAAACCCAGCTGGTAGTGGGTCTCTGCAAGGAGACGGTCATGGGCTTCCAGGTACTGCTCTTGCAGGTTTAGGCAAGCCTGGAACTCCTCCACAGCTTGGACATAATTCTCTAATGAAGAGAAAAAGAATAGCAACCAAATGAATAGTATTTAATATTACAATACTTCTAAATTTTAGACCATTCTGAGAGAATGCTCCCCTGATTTATGTCTCATCTATCTTTGTAGTATCTCCATGACTCTTGATTATAAAAAATATCAAAACGACAAAAAAAAAAAAAAGGAAAAGAAACACCCCCCCCCCCCAAAACCTACTAAAAGACTTTTAGTACGAGTACCTTAGAAAGAAACTACCCACTGTTCTAGGGACCAGTAACTAGGAAACCCAAACCTACTGTCTTCTGAAAGCCAACTGCCCATAATTTACCATCAAGTTTGATTTTAAGTAATTTGAAAAAGAATGGGTGGGGGGCAGCAGACATCAAGGGAACAGTAAAATGGAAAATGCATTACCTTAGCTCAGTGGACTAAGCACAGGCCTGTGAACCAAAGCACCACTGGTTTGATTCCCAGTTAGGGCATATGCCTGGGTTGCAGACCATATCCCCAGTATGGGGTGTGCTAGAGGCAACCATACATTGATGTTTCACTCCCTCTTTTTCTCCCTCCCTTCCCCATCCCTCTAAAATAAATAAATAAGAAAGAAAGGGAAAAGGAAAGGGAAGGGAAGGGAAAAGAAAATGCATTACCCGATTCAACACTAACTTCTCCAAGTTTAAGATGTGCCTGTGCAGCATAAAGCTGAGCTTCCTTTGTTTCTTGCCTAAAGGAAAAAATGATCAGAAACCTTGAGGGCATTTGTCCAAACCTAGCTTTTGTTTCTATTTTCAACCACCAAGTTTCCATCAGAGCCCCAAAGTACCAAGTTTTTTGTTTTTTTTTTTTTTACCTTTTAAAAATTATCTTTGCTAAATCCAGCATATCCCAGGCAAGCTCTAGGTTCCCAATCTCCTCCTCTTCATTTTCTTGAAGTGACTAAAGTATATCCAAATCATTGGTATTAGACAGAAGTATAAAACACAGGCATCTTTAGATTACAGACCTAAATGTTGGGTTGGCCAAAAAGTTCATTTAGTTTTTTCCATAAAAGACATATTTTTCATTTTCACCAATAACTTTACTGATTTGGTATTTTACATGTTGGATCTCTCCTGCTATTGGCTTCTAGTGGATAGAGGCCAGGGGTGCTGCTAAACATCTTCCAATCATAAGGCAGCCCACATTTGGCTAAAATGTCAGTAGTGCTAAGAAACTTCACAAACCACTACTAATATGTTTGATTAAATTACAGCACCTTCTCCACACACTGCACAAATCTTTTTGTGTTTCAGTTGCACTTTGACTTTCCTGAAATAATAAAGCGTAATATACCAAAAATGTTGCACATTTTCTTCCATGTTCAATATTAAAATGGCTGCACAAAAATTCACCAATTTCGTGTTTTAAACTCATGCTGAGATGACAGCTGTCACAATACAATCTAACAAAACTATTTCAAATGAAGTTAAAGACAACTAAGCTCTACTAGAGCCACTGCATGGAAGAAACTAAACGAACCTTTTGGCCAACCCAATATAAACAGCTATGTATAACAATCACACCTATACTAACCAATAAACCACAGTCCTACAATAAGAAATCAGACAATGATGATGAACAAATAATAATTTACCTTGTTTTCAAGAACTGAATCATTTGGTGCTTCTTCAGCCTTGTCATTTTCTTTATCCTCCTCTTCTGAGCCCTCGGTTTCTGCAAGCAAAAATTCCTCAGTATTGAGAATACTAAGGATATCTTCTGACTGACTAGTCACAGTCCATTAAACATCTGTGAAATAATCTACATTCTGAGGGAAGACAGGGAAGATGCTAGGCCAAATCAGCCAACATTTGAATTGGGTATGAATTAAGACAAGTAAGTAAAGTCTAATTCAAGTCTAATCTAAACTTAGATTGCATTATTTTGTAGCGTCTATGGCTTAGACCTTCAACAATCAAAGGCCAAAGGTTTCTCCTCTTGAAGTCAATCCGGATCATTCGGATGAAGAAAGATTAGCTACTGCCTCTTATTCACTGGCTAGAAGCTCCTGTCCAGTAAGGCAGAAGCAGTGGGAGGCATCCTCAGCCAGTGTTCCTAGCATCTTTAAGCCACTTGTTAGATAATACTAGTAAGCTGAGAAATACCAAAAGTTAAGTTACTTCTGTCCATTTAGAGCAAGAATGCTGGACAGACTAGCTTTCTCACAATATAGCTGTGGAGAGAATAGCATAGCCTTTATCAGCTCTCACCAATGAGCATGCTACATACTCCAGCCAGCTCTAGCATGTACATAATTTGAAAAGTACCACAACCAGTTATTTTATTCCAGCAACATGTTAAAATCTGCACTCATGATAACACCCTATTTTTACCATCCTGACATCTACTTACAAGTCAAATGCCTATTAAGGACAGGCTGGTAATAAATATCTCTACATAACAGCACATAAAGTTCGGAATGTTGCATTGATTAAATGGGCTTTTGGGGTACAATTCCTCTACAGCAAACAAGTCCTGTTACATCAAGTGGCTTGCTTTTCTCCTATTTCTATGGTATATGTAACTCAGTACTTCTGAAATCCAAATACCATCATCTCTCCATACCCAAACTTCCAAGTGGTTTGTGTACCTAGTTTCCTCATGTTAGACTAGATGAGTGATTGTATTAACCAGACAATGAAGCCTGTCCTCTGGCAGATTTTGTAACGGCAAGTGAAATAAGGCTATGTAGGCTCATAACAGACTTTGTTTTTAAAGAAACAGGAAGGAAGGGGAGAGAAAGAGAAGTATCTATTGGATGCCTTCTTGTATGAGCCCCAACCAGGGACCAAACTTACAACCTTAAGCTCTACGGAATGACACTCCAATCAACTGAGCCACACGGGCCAGGGCCTATACTGTTCTACACAATCTGGTATCTCTTCCTACACATATCAGGATATTAGGAGATGACAGCTAATTCGGCATAAAATATCTAATTATTTGTAATTTTACATCAAGCTTTTAAAATAAAATTACAACAATGTGAGAAAATCACCGGTTTTTCTTGAGGAATCTGTGTTATGTTCATGAAATGATAGAAGAGCTAGGTTAATCAGAAAGTCATTATTTTAAGACACTTTCCAACTTGGTAACTTGCACCCAAAGAATAGGAATGCCCCGATATCCAGAGAGCTGTTAAAATATTTCCCAATTTCCTTGAAAATGGCATCTTGTGGTATTCTTATAATCACACTTCAGAGAAAATGGAGACACTATATAATACTATTTCTCTGATCTTATAACCTAGGGCAAAATAAAGGCACTCTGCTGATTCTCCAGTTATCCCAAGCACTCTCAGGATAAAGTCCAAAAACCACTACTGACCAACCAGTACAGTCCATCTGGGCCTGGCCGCCCAAGCTTTTTGCCCAATATTAAAACTCTATTCATATACTAATCATATCTAGCATGACATTAGAAAAAAACACCAAACCAATAATCTTTATTAGGGACATGGACAGTCCAAGAGGTGGTAGGAAATGGGGTTTCAAGAAAAATCACAAAATGTCTGCATATCAGTGTTGCCACATAAATTCCTGATAGGCGGATTAAGGGAGAGGATAAAAGTTGCCTTCCTCAGTGTGAGGTTGCTTATGAAGAGCAATACATTCAAGTCAGATCTAGGGTTGGATTCCAGTATTATGTCTTACCATTTGACCCTAAACAACTCATGTAACCCTAAGCCTCAATTTCCTCATCACTGTAACTGGAGTAATACTACTTATTACCTAGCATTACTTTGGAAACAAAAGTAATGTATGTTTGAGGGAGCTCTAACAATGAATGTTACTTTTGATCCAGATGAATAGTTTTTGAACTATGGAGAAATATAACACCTGAAGTGTAGCTTATTATTGAAATCCAACTTAAGAGAGCCAGCAGAACTTTTTACTATCCTTGCTCACTATCACTAAAGACCAAGGCATGGAAATTTTTAGCCCTGGCCAGGTAGTGCAGCTGGTTAGACTGTCATCCCAATATGCTAAGGTTCCAAGTTCAATCCCAGTCAGGGCACATACAAGAATCAACCAATGAATGAATAAATAATCGCAACAACAAACTGATGTTTCTCTCTCTCTCCCACACTCCCCAACTTTCCCTTCTACAATGAATAAATGTTTAAAGCGTAAAATAAAGTCATGGAAGTTTTTAAAAATTGAGGAATCCAGTCCTGTACTTTTCCCATAAATAACTCCTAAAGCCCATAAACAGCCCAATGGTGATACCATTTACCCAAATTCACTTCTGGTTGCCATGCCTTTGCTGGCTGGAGTGCAGGAACCTGCACATAGGTAGAAGTTTATCAGAATGAGCTGCCAATATTGATAGTTTCTTTAAAAATCCATACTAAGAGAATTCTTGAAATAATGTCAATTATATGAATGATTAATAACCTATGGTTATTAACACTGTTAGATGAACATTATAAACAGAACTTTATAAACAGTAGAATCCTCAAATGATAGTACAACTCGATTCAGACGTGCCAATTATGTAATTACTAATTAGAGGCTCATACATCTTGATTAAATTGAATGAAAAGTAGATGAAATAATAGCATATAAAGAAAAGCATCCACACTTTAAAATGCTTGAAGTAACAAAAATTTCATTTTGGCAGCCAAAGCAAGCATGAAATGAGCGGAGAAAGCAGAAAGAGGACTAATTAAGTTTTCTGTTATCTTTTGGAGAGGGCTAAATTGTTTCATGTGGATAAGCCTCTAAGCACTTCCTGAAGACTAAAATTAAAGAGGGTCACCAGAATTCTTTCACTCTGGTCATAAAGCCTTCAAGAGTTAACTACCTTCACTTAAATGGCATGCCTGCTTAAGTGTACCAGTTCAGTGGATTCTACTGCTCTAAACTTGCTTCCTAATGCAGAGAAAGGGAACCATGTGAACAGTAAGTAAAACAATCCAGAGGCATGCAAGGGAACATCCATTCAGCATTCTCTGCCAGCCTAGCCCACTAATTCTCTACCCACCCCAATATATCCCATCCACCTTTATTGGCTAGTATGGTACAAGTTACTGATAGCTAGCCAAGCCTCAGAAATCAGAGAAGGCCTATTTTGCAGTTAGTAAAAGCGTTAGTTTATAAGCCAGCTAAAGAAGACTTTTGATTTAACTTGCTCGACTTATCGCAACTTTCTTAATCTACCCCCATTTTCATTTAGTCCTTTCCTATCCAAAGGCAGACGGAAAATCCTGAATGGAAGGCTGACTTTTACCCATGATTAGTGAGTCAAATCCAGAATGTACTCCACCCACTGGCAGCTCTTGCATATCCCGGTTACCTTCACCCTCTTTCATCTGTTCTTCTCTCTCTTGTGTTTCTTCATTAGCAGCTATCTTAACTTTGTCTTCAGGGGATTTCTCAGTAGCTCCCTGAGCTACCTTGGTCTCAAACCCATCTCCAGCTGCCCCAGACTCTTCTACAGACAGCTTAGTCTCCGCCTGGTTAGGAACCAACTCTGCCCTGACTTTTTCTTCTAGTCCTGAGCCACCTTTTCTTCCTGCCAATCCTTCTGCACTAGTCTCTGGTTCAACAGGAGTCTGATCTCCTGCAGCTGACAGTCCATTGACTGCACCATCCTTAGGGAGAACTGTGGCCTCCTGCCCAGGCTTCTCGGAGTCTTGTGATCCATCTTCAACAACCTCTGTTGTCACCTCTGGTGGCTCTTCAGCAGGAGGCACTTCTTCCCCTACCAGCTTCTCAAGAACAGCTTTTCCTGGATCATTTTCAGAATCAGCTACCTGCTCCTTTGGCTCAGCCCCACCCACATCCACTGGCTTGACTGCTGAATCTACAGGCTCTGTTTCTACCTCCACTGCAGTGCCCTGCTTTTCTAGGGTCACAACAGGCTGTTCTTCTGAAGCTTCTTTTGGCTTCTCCTCTATGCTCACTATTACTTCTCCCTGCTTTGTCTTTTCCTGACCTCCTTTTTCTCTGTATTCTTCTTGGATGACAGTTGCAGACATGAATTTTCCTTCCTCAGCTTCCTTTTCTGGCTTCCCAGAAGTGACCTCAGCTTCACCTGGTCCTTCTGGTGCTGCTGCTCCCTTTGCCTCTTCAGTGGTTTCAGTTAAGTGATCTGCAATTGATTCTTTTTCCTGTAGCTCCTCTGCAGGCTCACTGATATCCATATCTTCTCTTCCGACGGTCTCCACTTCAGGCTCCTGTTCTTTATCAATTTCAGGCTTTACCAGAGACTTGTCTTCTTGTTTTTTTGCTGCTTCTTTTTCTCCCATGGCGTCATAAACCTGTTCTCTCAACTCTTCCCTTGCTTCCTCTACATGGTTAAAGAACATGAAGCATAAACATGTCTTCGAGTTTAATGATAAAGGCATAAATGGAAACTAAAAATACATTCCCTTTAAACCCTCAAATAGCCTAGCTCAAGTTTTAGCAGATGGCCTACAAATTATATGCCCCTTGAGAAAAGCAAAGGGAAAGTGCCATCTAGCAGAGCAACTTATTGCGAAAAGAAAACAAAGCTCCTTAAATTAGATGTTTTACTTGAGCACTCTGATTATCAATTAGGTGGAGATGCCAAGTTTTACATTCTCCTCTAAACATTATAGCTAGAAGCCAATTCAGCTAAGAAATAAACATTTAAATTTCTTACACACAAAAAAGGTAAAAGGGCTCTGAAACCACTACTATTAAAATAACTGAACTTCACAGACTTAAAAAATTTAGCTATCCTTTTACAAAAGCCTGCACCCAGTTTCTGTAATCTGCTACCTCCCACTGTAGTCTCCACCAGATGCAGGTTATCACCCACACATCTTAGAGAGAGACCAAGCAGGATAGGGAGGAGCCTTATTTCTGTCACTATACACAAGAAATAGACGTCGCATCTCTTAAATGCCACATGCAACTCTACATACCATCTATGTTATCATTATTTTCTACCAGAGATTCTTCTGTTTTTTCTCCTTCTTCTTCTTCCACACGCACACCTTCCAGGGCATTTCCCAATACACCATTCTCCATTCTAGGAAAACAAAAGGAAGGACCAAAGGTATGACTGGCTAGAATGTAACAATTTTTTTTAAAGATTTTATTTATTTTATTTTACTTTTAGAGAGGGAAGGGAGAGAGAAAGAGAGAGAGAGAAACATCAATGTGCGGTTGCTGGGGGCCATGGCCTGCAACCCAGGCATGTGCCCTGACTGGGAATTGAACCTACGATGCTTTGGTTCGCAGCCCGCGCTCAATCCACTGAGCTACGCCAGCCAGGGCTAGAATGTAACAATTTTTAAAAGACAGAAAATTGTAGTCCTATATTATAAAAGCGACAGAAGAGTAAGCAAATGCAGAGACTATAAACTAGGTACTCCTGCAAAACTTCTCACATATATTAAGGCTGTAAAAGCACTGAAAGAAATAATGATCTTTCACCCAGGCACCTGGAAAGTACTGATAACTTCCATCAAAATAACAAAATTGGTATATATTTCCTTTACAATAAGACCATAATATTTCTCAGTCATCATATCCATCCACATTTCCCTACATGATCAAAAACATTCTGGCAAGACTTTCATGACAAATCACCAGAATACTCCACAAAATTAGAAAACTGACCAGAACTGAGATTAACTAGATCACAGATAATCTGCAAGTTTTAGATACCCTCAATGTATTTTTTCCTGGTGAATAAATTCTGATGGAAAATACACAACTTTATGACAATTAAGATTACTTGTTTTAGCCCTGGCTGGTGTGGCTCAGTGGACTGAGTGCTGGCTTACAAACAAAAAGTTCAATGATTCCATTTCTAGTCAAAGCACATGCCTGAGTTGTGGGACAGGGGGCATGGAGAGGCAACTGATCATGTTTTTTTCTCTCCCTCCCTCCCTAAAAGTTAAATAAATAAAATCTTAAAAACAAAAAAGATTACTTAATTTATTAAACATATTCACTAGGTAGTGTGTTCCAATTGTCCTTCATTCAGCCCTTGTGAAAATTATTTTGGAATACCCGAGAGTGCTTTTAAAGGTTCTCTATATTGGACTTTGATAAATTACTGACTGTTCACTAAGGGAAAAGTCTCTGCTTCTAATGATCCCAAAGTCAAAACCTAAGTATAAACTTTACTCTTTGCATCAAGTGCCTTTTAAAACCTCCATCAATATTTCATACTTGCTCTAACCCCCCATTCTTCATAAAATCAGTCACACTTAGGTCATGTGAAATCTCAAGCCAGTAAACAATCTTAGCAAACTAAGGAACTCAAGTTTTTAAAAGATTTTATTTACTCATTTTTAGAGAGAAGGGAAGGGAGAGAGTAAGTATAAGAAACATCAATGTGCCTGTAGCACACCCCCAGCTGGGGACCTAACCCACACCCAGGCATGTGCCCCGACTAGGAATCAAACCAGTAACCTTTCGGTTTGCAGGCCAGTACTCAATGCACTGAGCCACAACATGTAGGGCAAGAAACTAGTTTTTAAATAGATCATATCATGGTGATACAAAAAACTGTACTTTTCCACTGGCTGGGTAGCTCAGTTGGTTAGAGGACTGTTCCCATATGTCAAGGATGCAGCTTTGATTCCCAGTAAAGGCACATATAAGACCACCAATGGCCCTGAATGGCTCAGCTGACTGGTGTGTCATGCCATGACCTAAAGGTTGCTAGTTCAATTCCCCATCAGGGCACATGCCCAGGTTGTGAGCAGGAGATAGCCAACTGATCAGTGTTTCTCTTGTATTGATTTCTTGTATTTTTTCTCTGTCCCCTCCCATCAGATTAAATACACCTTAAACAACAACAACAACAACAACAAATGCATAAATAAGTGCTACAACAAATCAGTACTTCTCTCAGAGAAAGGATATTTGTTTTCTTTTTTTAGACTTAAAGAGGAACATGGAACAAAACATTCTACTTATAAATGCAGCTTTAAAGACATACCTTGCCAACTCTAGGAGTGATTTCCCATAGAAAAAAAATGCTTCTCCACACTCATTAGCCGTCTCTCCATACTTCTTACCCCTTTAAAGAGAATAAACATGTAAGATTTGAATTAACATCTACTCTAAAACATTTATTTCTAGTTCTTTAGTTATGGCATTAGTTCATTAACACATTCTAGGAAACTAATACTTCCCTCTCTCTTGCTTTTCAATCAAGATCCAAGGGACCCTGACCTAAGAAACAACACATGAAGTTAGTATTGCCTGTTCTTCACCTGTATGTATATCATATATTGTAAATACCAATTTGCTACAGTTACAATATATAATCTAAGAGTTAATCTACATATAGTTAGAGGACCTTTGTCAGGTATCTAAAGGATGAGAAAAGCCTGTGGAAAAACATCATGAAATAGTTAAGAGCATTTTTCCTCTGGAGCAATAGTGTCTGGGAAGTTAATCTCAGTGTCTTAGTTTTCTCACCTGTAAACTAGAAAAGTTAGGAACTGCTCAAAGACCTATTGCAGAACTAAGTTACTATATGGACTCAGACAAGTTTATTACAGACATCCAGGAATATATTCTAAAAGATTCTTTTCAGAGGGGAAGTAAGGGAATGGGAAAAGAATGCATCCATATAATCCTGACTGACTGAATAGAAGGAATGAAAAGTTTTAATCCCAGCAAGCCTCAAACCTGAAACCCAGCTTGATTCTAAGCATTTCTTTTATTGGGTTGACCAGAGTTAAGTTTTTTCCATATAATGACCCTAATAGTGCCTAACTGTCTTCAATTTCATCTGAGACAATTTTGTTAGTTTGCACTGTGAAAGCTGTCATATCAACGTGCATTATTTTCTTAAAGATTTTATTCATTTACGTTTAGAGAGAAGGGAAAAGAGGGAAGAAGAAAGGGAGAGAAACACTGACCAGTTGACTCTCACATGCTCCCAAATAGGCACAAGGCCCTCAACCCACACTTGTGCCCTGACTGGGATCTGAACCAGTGACCCTTTGGTTCACAGGTTGGCACTCAATCCACTGAGCCACACCAGCCAGGGTCATCATGCATTTTTAAAAAGAAATTCACAAAATTGGTGAATTGTGGTACAGTCATTTTAATATTGAACATGGAAGAAGATATATAACATATTTGGCATATTATGCTTTACTATTTCAAAACAGGGAAAAATAAAACTGAAACGCAAAAAGGTTCCTGCAGTGTGTAGAGAAGGTGCTGTGACTGATCAAATGTCAATAGTGGTTTGTGAAGTTTCTTGGCACTACTGACATTTGGCCAAATAATTCTTTGCTGTGGGGCTGTCTTATGTATTGGAAGATGTTTAGCAGTGTGCCCCTGGCCTCCACCCACTACAAGCCAAATAGGAGGAGATAGCAAACATATATACAATATCCAAATCAATACAGTAATTGGTGAAAATTAAAAATGTGTCTTTTATTTTATGGAAAAAACCACATGAACTTTTTGGCCAACCCAATATAGGAAAGATTTCTTCAACTCAGCTGTGGTTAATACAATCAACTAATTAAAAATCATTACCTCAGGCTCTGGTTGATATGGCTCAGTGGATTGAGCACAGGCCTGTGTACCAAAGGGTCCCCAGTTCGATTCCCAGTGAGGGCACACGCCTAGGTTGTGGGCCAAGTCCCCTGTAGGGGGCACGTCTGAGGCAACCACAACTTGGTATTTCTCTCCCTCTCTTTAAAAAAAAAAAAAAAAAAAAAAGTTACTTCGAGCCCTGGCTGGCATAGCTCAGTGGATTGAGCGGAGGCTGCAAACCCAAGTGTCGCAGGTTCGATTCCCAGTCAGGGTACATGCCTGGGTTGCAGGACATGACCCTTAGCAATCACACACTGATGCCTCCCTCCTTCCCTCTAAAAAATAAATAAATAAATAAATAAATAAATAAATAAATAAATATTTTTTAAAGTTACTTCAATCGCTGTTGGGAATAGTGTCTTAGAGAAAAGTAGCTCCAACCAAGTCATAGACCAACAGGCTAATGCTTCCAGATTTTAACTTTCTCAGAGTACAGAGGTACATTTAAGTCTTTGGTTAAAATAAATCAATCTTCAGGCACTGAAGCTAACCTGTTTCCTCAAAATATAAATAACTATGGCCGCCTAGTAGTAACTACCAAATTCCTAGGTGTTACAATAGATAACAAAGTGCTAAGAGTCTTATCAAAATTACTGTGCTAATAATAACACTAGTGGCAGGTTGGCCAACCATCATGGCTTGCTTGGGATTGAGTTTCCCCAGAGAAAGAACTTCCACTGCTAAAATTGGAAAAGCCCAGGAACAAACTGGGGCAAGTTGGTCACTCTAATTAGCAGCAATGAAAACCGATTTACCTTACTCAGGAAGATCAAAGGCTAAAATTGTTCAGTTACATGGAGGTTTTATAGTTATGAATTTGCATATGGAAAAATGATCTCTTAATAAATTCTTGCACTTGGTTTCTTCTTCCTGTAAACAACTTTCTATGACTCAAGTGTATTAGGAGCACAGTATCACATAGCAAAACACAGTACTTACAAAAGACTAGCTGCTTCCTGGAATGCATTGACTGCAGCTGGAATATCTCCCATCACTAGATGTTTCTGTCCTAAGCCCAGTAGCTTCTTAGCTTCACTATCCACATCCAGACTGCAAGAAAAACATTTTTTTTTCAAGTGTCAAATACTTTTTAAATAAACTTTTGAGAACCTGCTACATTTAAACCATAATTTCTTTAAGCCTGATTTACTCTTGCAAAACTTAGCTAACTCACATTTATCAGTACAAAAGCAAAAGAAATCTCAAAGGCAACATCACCAGAACTGGATGCTCTCGCTAAAGTAATACAGCAAATTGTACTAGCTAAAAGAAAAATTAGCCCTGAGTGGTGTGGTTCAGTGAGTTGGGTGCCATTCCCTCAGACCTAAAGCTATATACACTGACTTAAAAAAAAAAAATAATGTTCATAGCTGTAGTCTGCTTGGACTCAGCCCACAGGATCACAGCATCCTGTCCCAAATAAAAGCTCTTAATTGGAAACAAAGCAAACAAAAATGTTCACAGGTTGAACAGGATAAATGTAACAAAAGTATACATTTTATACGTAAGTACAAAAATTGCCAAAATTAAGAGATACAAAAATATATACTGCACAGCACAATGTATTTTCAAAAGTGGGTATTATCAGCCAAAATATTTTGTGGCTTTCCCCAACAAAGTACATTTTGTCTATATTACCTATATGACTGTACAACTGTGCTCAGAACTGCTAAGCAATGATTGGTTAAGACAAGAAATAATCCCAGGTGGGTATGCAAAGAATGAATGAAAACTTATTGCCTTTGTGGAATATATATTCAGGGGGGGAAAAGGCAATGGTCTTCCAATTATGAAAACAGTCTTGATCTTAAAGAATTTCTGAAGGGATGTTGGGGACCCCAAGGGTGTATAGAGATTATACATTGAGAACTGCTGAATAAGAAATTGACCGAAATCTAAAAAAAGAGAATACAAGGTCTGTCCAGAAAAAGTACAGCTATTGTTAATATGAGCACAACACCCACGTAACCTGGGAGACAAGAATGGACTGGAATGTGCATGTGTGAACAATGATGACTTCACTGTACTAGTCAGTGGGGGCGGTAGACAACATTGAGTGAGCACGTGTACTGTGTGGGCAATGCATTCAAGATGACTGAATGAGGAGAGCAAGGAATCTGCACCTAACTTTGCATTAAACTTCAACATTCCTCTGAAGAAACTATGCAGATGATTCAGAAGGCTGCAGCTATGTCACCACAACCGCCCACTCATGCATCATATCTCTGTGCAGTTTTTGAAGAAACATCAAATCACTCAGGTTACTCAGCCTCCATACAGCCCAGCTTGGCACCCTGCGACTCTTGGCTCTTCCAAAACTAAAATCACCTTTGTAAGGGAAGATATCTTAGACCATCAACGAGATCCAGGAAAATGTGACAGGGCAGCTGATGTCAACTGGGTGAACTGTGTGAGGTCCCAAGGTGCCTAGTTTGAATGAGACTGAGGTGTCACTGTCCTATGTACAATGGTTCTTGTATCTTGTATATTCTTCAATAAATATCTCTTATTTTTCATATTACACGGCTGGATACCTTATAGACAGACCTCCTATGTGGGTATCGATTAATGCCAGAGGGTTAAGAAATTTCTCTTACTAAGCAATTAAACAACAACAACAAAACAAACATGACAGCTGCAGGGAGTGGAGGGGTGGAGGTAAAGAGATGGAGGGTTTGAGCAAAAAGGACTCACGGACAACAGTGTGGTAATTGCTAGTGGGCAGTGGGGGAGGTGTAAGGGGACTAAATGGTAGAAAAAACTAAAGATTAAATTAAAACAATAGTAAACAACCAAAAACAAAGTAAAACCATCATGGAAGAAGTGATGGCATCGAATGCTTAAGAAAATGTTAAGAAAAAGTTCATTTAGCAGAAAGCAAAGTAACTTGACCAGGGAATGTGCTGTAACTGCCAGGCAATTAGAAACATCTGCCCTGGCTAGCCTAGCTCAGTGGATTGACTGCGGGCTGCAAACCAAAGTGTTGCAGGTTTGATTCCCAGTCAGGGTACATGCCTGGGTTGCAGGCCACGGCCCCCAGCAACCGCACATTGATGTTTTTCTCTCTCTTTCTCCCTCCCTTCCCTCTCTAAAAACAAACAAACAAACAAACAAATAAATAAATAGAAGGAAGGAAGGAAGGAAGGAAGGAAGGAAGGGAGGGAGGGAGGGAGGGAGGGAAGCATCCACTTCAGTTGCCCTGGCCAGATAATTGGTTAGTGTCATTCTGATAAAGCAAGGTTGCAGTTTGATCCCCTATCAGGAAATATACTAAGAACCAATGAATGCATAAATAAGTAGAACAAATCAATGTTTCTCCTCTCCTTCCTTTCACTCTGTATGCATTCATAACTGCATATCAGCAAGTGCTATTTACCACTTACTCAGCCCCAAAATTTAAATACTATGGTATATCCCAAGAATAACCCTCTAACAAGCTTATGTCAATGTGAGCACTACTCTTACCCCAAAACTAGACTGACTCAATCATTAGGTAGTATATCTAGAAGGTATAGTTTAAATAACCAAAATGACAACAGGATTTTAGACACAACATGAAAACATAAAATACTCTTAAAAAATGTCCCCAACTGGGAACCTGGCCCACAACCCAGGTATGTGTTCTGATCAGGAATCAAACCTGCAAACCCTTTAGTTTGCAGGCTGGCACTCAATCCACTGAGCCCCATCAGCCTGAAGGCTAACTGAAGATTACCAAATAAAATCTCTAGGGATGCAACCCAGGCATATCTACCTTTTAGATAAGCTTTCCAGTTATTACCTTGGGTTAAAAACCATGGTCACATCAAGATGGGAAAGTTACAGAGAAACAGATGTAAGCTCAATATAAAATTTAAAATACTTAGCCCAGGCTAGATAGTTCAGTTGGTTAGAGCATCACCCCAATTCACCAAGGTTGGGTACCCAGCCAGGGCACATACAAGAATCAAACATTGCTTCTTGGCTTTTTGGCTAAGACCAAGTGAAGAATCAAAAAGTGACTGCATAAATAAGTGGAGCAACAGATCAATATTTCTTTCTCTAAAAATCAATGGAAAAAAAATTTTAATTTTAAACTTTTAAACTAAAATAACAAAACTGAAAACAGCAAGCTTACAAAAGAGATCTGTAACAGCAGAAATTTCAAAGAAAGAATACATTAGCATTTGTCAGGCATGTTGTATACTGAGTAAGCAGCACAACTAAGTAACTTTCAATTCTAGTATTTTAAACAAATGCAAAACTTTAAGACATCATTGTCAGGACTTCATACTCTAAATCACAAACAAGTTAACTTAATATTTAGTCTTATTTGTTACCTATTAAAAATGAGCCTTGGCTGGTGTGCCTCAATGGGCTGAGTGCCAGCCTGCTAACCAAAGAGACACTGGTTTGATTCCCAGTCAAGGTGCATGCCTGGGTTGTGGGTCAATTCCCCAGCAGGGGGCGCTGGAGATGAAACCACACATTGATGTTCCCCCCTCCCTAAATCTTATTACAAACCAACCAACCAACCAACCAACCAACCAACCAACCAACCAACCAACCAACCAACCAACCTGATTTGACCTGGCAAGCCTGGGGAAGGGGAAGCCCTTTATTTGCACTGGTATTATATAGTTCCTTAGGATCTTTTGTGGCTGGTCTTGGACGTTTTTTTGTTAACTATTAGAATTAAAAGATCATGTGATGCTGGAGGAGAATTTATCTTGGCGACTTTTAGGATACTAGTTCCATTGCAGGCATAATGATGCCAAGCTAAGAATCCAGGAAAGAATCACCAGAGAAGGAATTAAAAATAAGATTTTAGCCCTGGCTGGTATAGCCTAGTGGACTGAGTGCCGTCCTACAAACTGAACAGTCCCCAGTTCAATTCCCAGTCAGGGCACATGACTGATTTGGGGGCTAGGTCCCCAGTTGGGGGCTTGCAAGAGGCAAGATCAGACAACCAATTGACGTATCTCTCTCACACTAATGTTTTGCTCTTTTTTTCTCCTCTCCCATCTCTAAAAAATAATCACAATTAAAAAGAAAAAAAGAGGTTTTATACGAAAGTACCTGCCTTGATCCTAAACAAAAACAAACCACCAACAAAAGCAGTAAATGAGCAGTTGTGCACAAAAACCCAAATACAACTCGCTGATGTCAGTGTGAACAAAGCTGAGATCAACTATATAAAACACCGCATGTAGCATAAGGCTTTCAATGAAGCATGTGTTAAGCTGTAAAAAATAATAATAATGAAACTGCCTTGACGTTATACAGCCCCTAAAGTTTTTGTTCCAGACATTAATCTAATTGTACCATGTAAATAATCTTACCTCTCCACTTTATCTGCAGAGGTTGAAGGAGCAGGAGCATCTTCTTCAATTCTATAATGAAAAATTAGGGGAAAAAATACAAGTGGAGGTTATACTAAGCCTGAAAATTAAAGACATTAGGAAATATATACCATTTGTGCACTGGTTGGTGTGGCTCAGTGGATTGAGTGCCAGCCTTTGAACCAAAGGGTCACTGGTTCAACTCCCAGTCAGGGCACATGCCTAGGTTGCAGGCCAGGTTGCCAGCTGGGGGAGTGCCAAAAGGCAACCCATTGATGTGTTCCTCTCCTTCTTTTTTAAAAAATAAAATAAAATAGCCCTGGCTGGTGTGGCTCAGTAGATTGAGTGCATGCCTGCAAACTGAAAATTGCTGGCTAAATTCCCTGTCAGGGCATATGCCTGGGTTCCAGGCAAGGGGACATGTGAGGGGCAAGCAATGATGTTTCTCTCCTCTTACACATGATGTATCTCCCTCCCTCCCGTCCTCTCTAAAAGAACAGTGGAAATACAGGCAACTTTACCATCATGTACCAACACCTCAGAAGCACTAAAGTAGAATGAGTATGCACAGGAAAAAACCCCAAAACTTGAAGTAGGAGAGAAAAGCTATAGAAAGTGTTTTCCCCATACACATAATTACTGAAATCTCCCCAAAAGGTTAAAACACAAATAGAACTGAGTCTATTAGTTTTTCACACCTGTACTTTCTTATTTAGCTATACCATATTTATGAACACAGATATGTAATACAAGTGGAGACCCAAAAAATACATCAGAATTACCTTCTGGAGGGTAGGTCCCCTGTAGTACAGGCTTCCCCCACTAGGTGAGTGTTCTAGAAGCCCATCTGTATCAAGTGTACTACCTGATGTGAGAGGCTGCATTTGGCCTCTGAATTTTTTGAAAACTCTTTCAATGGTTTGTCCATTTCATGATGGGTGATTTACAAGTGCACCTGCCCACACCAGACTGAGTGTTCAGCAGTGTTTGACCAAAAAAACAAAACAAAACAAACAGAAAAACATGACCCCAGTGCCCCCCCCTTCACTGGATCTGGCCCTGAGTGACTTCTTTTTGTTTCCCTGGATGAAAGAAGCCCTCAAAGAGAAATGTTTTGTGGATGTGGAAGAGATGAAACAAAAAAGGGCAGAAGCATTAAAAGGCATCAAAATCAAGTTCAAAACTTCTGAGCAGTGGGAAAAACGTTTTGACAGGTATATTGCATCAAAGGGAGGGAACTTTGAAGGCAACTGAGGTTTAAGCATGTAAGAACACACAACTTTTTTATAAAGTTCACAGGGTTAGATGAAACAAATAATTAAATCAGCTTACTCAATTTAATAAGTAAATAAATAAATGTAAAGACTAGTTAACTACTATGTGATAAGCATTGGAGACAAGTCTCGGACAAAACATTTAAGCAGAGGGAACAACTTGTTTAGAAGCACAAAGGCAGAAGAGATTACATGACAGGGACTAACTGTATTGGAGTCTGAGTCCTAGAACATATTTTAGCAATAAAAGGTTGCCAGCTACTTTCAGCAGGATCCAAAATATTTGCTCCTAGCTCCTAATCTATTTGTGGATATTATTCTGGTTTACAAATTTGATGAAAATCCCCAAGGAATGGGAGGAAACGGGGTTGAAAATAAGCCGAGATTTCACAGCTACAGCCAGGGATAAGGCACAATTTAACAGGCAGTACTTTCAGCAGCAGATAAGCAAGCAGATCTGCCCAGAACTCTGAAATGGCCTGGTATCTTTATCCATATTTTAAAAATAATAGTCAGTTATGTTCAAATGGAGGTTATTAGGGCCAAATTCTAGCACAGAGCTTCTCAAATTACCTGCAGTTGAAGGACCAGCTTTTTTATTCCCAATGTGTAAGAAGCAGGGTCTCTATAAAATATTTATAACAAAAATATCAGTAATGTTAAATTTGTTTCTAAATATTGACTTCAATTTTTTTATACTTTGTAGACATGTAAGAAACAGTTCACAAACCAATACAATGTGATAGAACACAAATGTCTAAATAGAACGTGGGCAATGAAAAAAAAAATTAATGCACATACATGCTACAAAGGTTCACACACCAGTGGCAACAAGAATAAAAAATAAAATGTTTTGTACCCCACATAGGTGAGGGATGAGGCGCAATGCTATTTAAGCATCTGTGTTAGCCAGGATTCAACCTCTGACCTCAAAACAAGTTAGTAAGTATGTATGAATGAATTAATGAATGTCAGCCCTGGCTGGTATGCTCAGTGGATTGAATCTCAGCCTGTGAACCAAAGGGGTCACTGGTTTGATTCCCAGTCAGGGTACATGCCTGGGTTGCAGGACAGGTAACCAGCAGGGAGTGCTGGAGAAGCAACAGCACACTGATGTTTCTCCCCCTTCCCCCGCCTTCCCCTTCCTAAAAATAAATAAATAAAATCCTTTTTTAAAAAGGTCGAAATACAGGAAATATCACAGTCAACTTTAAATGAACAGCAGCCACTTATTTTAAGAGAAAATTCACTATAATCCCCACCATTTCATAGTTCCCTATCCAGTCTTCAAGGCTTTACATGCCTAAGCCCTGCTACAGAATGTCAAACCGCTAAATTCTAGCGATTCTTTCGAAATTAGTAAAAGAGAAAGGGGTAGCTCCAGAATTTTTCATTTCTGGGGTTGGAAACAGCACTATCCAACCAAAATAAGATACAAGAACAGGATTTATTTAGTGAGAATTGCAGGGTATGTATTAAAACCAGTTGATCTGAGGTGTTCGTGGAACAGGAATAACATTCAATAGGCAAATCAGAGCAAACATGACAAACAAGACAAAGCATGTGCGGTGCCTATTACATTTTCATCTAATTCTCACACACAAAATCCTTGTGTCAGGTGGCAATATTTGTTTTACTGAGAAGTAACCAATTACAGATGACTCCATAACCTACATGACCCCCCTCATCACAACTCATACTATGTCTCAATTTCCTATTGACTTTCTGTACTCTCCACCAGGATTTAGCTCTAAGGAAAAAAGTATGTCTAATTTATCTTAGATGTAGCCTAGCAACAAGCACAAGGCCTGGCACCTAAATCATTACTTGGTAAAACTTTATTACTGAAGCCCTGGCTAGCACAGCTCAGTGGATTGAGCGCGGGCCATAAACCAAAGCATTGCAGGTTCGATTCCCAGTCAGGGTACATGCCTGGGTTGCAGGCGACGGCCCCCATTGATGTTTCTCTCTCCCTCCCTCCCTTCCCTCTCTAAAAATAAATAAAAATCTTAAAAAAAAAAAAAAAAAAAGGAATTGAATCTCATTCCACTTTTTTTCTACTGACTTGTAAGTTATACAAGTTTTTATTCTTTCAGTGGTTATAATGCACATTCTTATTAAAGTCTATACTCGAAAGGCATTTTCTATACCCTCCCCTTTCAATGCCTAAGGCACTATAACTCTGAATGGTCCCAACCAACTGAGGAATGCGGCCTTTATTGTTCTCTCAGGCTAGCTAATTAGGTTTTCAGGCAATTTCCTCTTAGGTGGGTAGGGACTTAATAAAAACTTGAAATACTAGAGTTTAACGCAGACTCCACAACTTATTAATTTGGAATTTCTGCATTCTGGTCTCGACTTTTCTCACTTACAGAAGAGAACTATTTCATGGTATACTTATGTGGATCAAATATAAGCACTCAAAAAGACCAAAAAAGTGATAGGTGGCACAGGCAGAGATAAGTAAACCTCTGGTAACTGTAAATATGCTAACACAATCATAAAGTGTAAGGTTATGGATTGAGCAAAAAGGAAAAAGGACTCATGCATATGGACAACTGGGAGGTTGCTGGGGGAGGGGGCATAAGGGAACTAAATGGTAAAGGGAAAAAATATAATAAAGATTAAACTAAAAAAAAAAAAAAAAGTGTAAGGCTGCTCTACCTGGTGTGGCTCAGTGGACTGAGTGCCAGCTTGCGAACCAAAGGGTCTCTGGTTCGATTCCCACTCATACATGCCTAGGTTGCCGGCTAGGTCCCTGACTGAGGGCGTGGGAGAAGCAACCAGTTGATGTATCTCTCATACATCGATGTTTCTCTCCCTCTCTTCCCATCTCTCTATACATACATATATACATAAGTGTAAGGCTACAGAAATAAAAGATCAACCATAAAAACCTCACAGCAACCTTTCCATGTATAGCGGAGACATCTAACTTCTGAAGTGCACTAAGGAAAAATTAACAAGCCCCTAAAAAATAAGGGAAGATTGTGAAACCTGTTAGATGGAAAAGAGCGTTTCTTTTCTGTAATGGACAGAGTGCTCCCTTCACTTTTCAAAAAATACCTCAGGTCTGAGTGGCACTGTGCTGTTTTCCAAGCAATCCTGTCTTCTATCATTCCCTCCAGTCATTCTACCACACTTCGCGCATACTACTGCTCATTCACAAGCAACAAAACACCACTACCAGTGTGTAAAGCTCGACGCAGAGCTAGCCAAAAAGGCTTCGCATCCCGAAGAAGCCCCAGAAGCAGCCTGTATCGTTCACACTTCTAAGTCCAAAGAACCACAATGCCCTCCACCGCAGGCCGATGAACTGGGCTAGCAGAAGACAGGTGGCCAAGAGGAGCCGAGATATCGCAAGAAACCAGCTTCACCGCGCCCCACTGCGGAAGTCCTAAGCTCAGCCCTAAACAATGGAAGTTTTCCCGCCTCCTCAAGGCCCCGCCCCCTGCCCCAGACCCGGCGGAGGCAAGCTAACACTGGCGCAAGATCCCGCCCCCGAGAGGCTCCGCCCACCCTGGACCCCACGGGTCCATGCTGTCCTGCAAGGCTTTGGGGGTTTTTTTTGGCGCCAAATCTCTATTGGTTATTTTCTCAGGTTGTTTGGGCATCTTATTGAAGTCGCGAGCCAGGAGTGCGGGCAAAGTAGGGGCGTGAGGACACGCAGGCGCGGTACGGCCCCACCTCCCCGCCGACAGCCCCGGGCCGAGGAAGAAAAAGGGGCTGGCGATGGAGACAGCAGCGGCCGATGCCCCCGGCAAGATGGCGGCCGCGAAAAGCGGGGCAGGGGGCGCCAGCCAACCGGCGTAACTGCTAATGCACGAGGCTCTGGGCAAGGGGTGGACTTCTCCAGTGTCCAGGCCTCCACGAACAGCGACGATTATTTATTGGGAAGCAATCCCTTCAACCCACCAAACTCCCCTTCCAGGAAGCCCCAGTCGGCCACCCCCTCCCCGCGAAGTGGTCAGTGCCTCAAGCTCTCCGTAGTCCCGCTTACTTGTCGGCAGAAACCAGCTCCGCAGCGATGGCGGCAGTGGCTGTGGACTCTGCGTCCATCGTTCCCCTGAGGTGGTGGGCCAGCGGACGGAATACACCCTGTGAGAAAACAGGGAATTTCGGAAGCCAGAGACTTACACAGAGACAGAAAATGGCAGATTGGAGACCCCGCGCGTCTGGGCCCTCTTATATATCACGGCCCTTCGCCCCGCCCATCCACTTCCGGAACCTCCCCCTTTAGTTTAAAGGGCCAGAATTCAGTCCAGTCTTGCCCCAGGACAGCCACTAACTAGATTCTGACTCTGCGGGGTACCTTTCCTCTCTGGTCTGCCTTTTCCTAAAAAAGCAGCTTCCACTGTCTCTAGCAAGCCGCGAAAAAGCTGGAAACTTGGTACTACAACTCTTTACTGGGAGTCAGCCAGCAGCTTCCAGAGAAAGGGAAGCTGGGGCTGCTCGGCATGTTTGGAGCGAAGAGTAGAGAGTCTGTTTCCGGCCCGGATAATCTGGGAGATTGTCGTAACGGATGGACGCGCAACAGCCGAGCACGGGCACAGTAGCAACGGCTAGAACTGATATCCGTGAGACGCGAGGTTGGGAGCCTCAGCAACAGCTGACCGAAGGAAATGCTATTTTAGGATTGGCTACCGCTGAAACTACCGCGCTTGATTCAAAGCTCAGTTCTGTGGAGGTATGCTGCTGCTCCGCCCTCTGGACACGCCCTCTTCAGGTGGCCCAATCCACTGTCGCCATCCTCTTAGGCCCTACCCAAACTCCAAATCAGACTAGTTTAGTGTTCCCAGCTCTCTCCCCTCCTCATTGCTATGATTATTTGCCTACTAGGTGCGAGGGTGCTGTGCTTAGACACTTTAAGCTATTAGCAGTTTTATTTAATCTTAACAACTCTACAAGTCAGATTGGTGTGTTCTACCCCATTTGGTAGAAACAGAAACCAAGACTTAGGAAAGGTGTCACTTGCTCAGAAAATTACAAGCCAAGTCTGTTATAGAAAGCAATGCTCCTCATTTACTGCACCTGAGTGGAAGATAATTGGCAGACTGAAATGGTTGCACTTCCCCACACCTGGAACATCATCCATTGCATTCCATCATGGCCTTGCCTACATTGATCAGAATAGGATTTTAGCCCTGGCTGGTGTAGCTCTGGATCGAGCGTGGGCCTGGGAACCAAAGCATCACTGGTTCAATTCCCAGTCAGGGCACATGCCTGGGTTGCAGGCCAGGTCCCCAGTAGTGGGGCGTGAGAGGCAACCACGCACTGATGTTTCATTACTTCTCTTTCTCCCTTCCCCTCTCTAAAAATAAATAAAATCTTTTTTTAAAGAATAGTATTTTATTTACATTCAGATTCAGGCATACTGGGAAAGATTCCTGGAGCGGATTCTCATTTCAGTTTGTCAAGGTTTAGGCAGAGTGAAATCTTTGGGAGTACAGAGCTGGACCTGAAAATGCCAATTCCTGAGGACAAACAGACATAGGCTCTTCCATTATTAGCTGGGTGACCTGAACCAAGTCATGTAACATTTTAGATTAAATGTAAAATGAGGACAATATTAGTATTCACCCCTTAAGGATATTGTGAGAATCAAAGGTAATAATGCTTGCTTCAACAATAAGCATTGTGCCTGGCTCATGCTACCAGAGTGTGATAATATGGTGACTGAGGGTTGGAGTGGGGGAATGGGGAGAAATCTCTCCAGAGTCCTTGAAGCCAGGGCTAGGGCCTGAGAAAGCCAGTCCAGTAAGTTGTGTGACCCATGCATCCATTAAAATAATATTCACTGAGCAACTGTGATGTGCAAAGATTTGTACTAGGTCCTAAGGATAAAAGACATCATCTCTGCCTTTGAGGAAGTCAGTCTTATGAAAAAAATATTTATTTATATTTAGAAAGAGGGGATGGGAGGGAGAAAGAGGGAAAGAAACATCAATGTGTGGTTGCCTCTCATGCACCCCCTACTGGGGAGCTGGCCCACAACCCGGGCATGTGCCCTGACTGGGAATCGAACTAGCGACCCCTTACTTCACAGGCTGGTGCTCAATCCACTGAGCCACACCAGCCAGGGCTGAAAAATATTTTAAAATAAATTTAAAACTATCCACTTCTCTCAGTCCTACTACCACCATTTTAATCCAAGTCTAGCTACCACCATCTTGCCTATACTACTTAACCTTGCCTCTGGTCTCTGCTTAACTTTATCTAGAAAAATATATTTTTAAAGATTTTATTTATTTTTAGAGAGGGGAAGGGTGGGAGATAGAAAAACATCAATGTGCGGTTGCTGGGGGTCATGGCCTACAACCCAGACATGTACCCTGACTGGGAATCGAACCTGCCACACTGGTTCGCAGCCCGTGCTCAATCCACTGAGTTACACCAGCTAGGGTGAAAAATATTTTTTAAAGATTTTATTTATTTATTTTTAAAAAGAGGGGAAGGGAGGGAGAGGAGAGAAACATCCGTGTGTGAGAGAAACATGGATCTGTTGCCCTTGCATGCACCCCAAGCCAGCAACCCAGGCATTACCCTGATCAGAATCTAACCAGTGACTTTTTGCTTTGTCGACAATGCCCAACCAACTGAGCCACACTGATCGTGGCCAGAAAAATATTTTTATAATGTATATCAAATTATGTCACTATCCTTGAGTAGCTTTGCATTGCTCTTAGAAGAAATTTTAAGCTCTTTATCCGTGCCTACAAGGTCCTACATGTTCTGGCTCCATTCACCTCTCCAAATTCATCTCATGCTACTCCCCTTCCTTAACTGTATTCTTACCATACTGGTCTTCTGTTCTTTCAGATAGTTTGATTCCTGGTCAGGGAACATTCCTGGGTTGCAGGCTTCATCCTGGGTTGGGACATGGTCAAGAAGCAACCAATCCATGTTTCTTACTCATATACATGTTTCTTTTCCTCTTTCTCCCTCCCTTCCCTACTCTCTAAAAATAAGTGAATAAAAATTTTTTAAAAATGGATACCAATTACTTCATAGCAAGTAATGAAAGTAAATGGGACTTTATCTTTGTGGGGAAATTAAAATTATAACAAGATTTAGAGAGGACTTCCAGTTAACATGGAGAGTTTAACACATACCTTTACCCTATTCCTGTCTCAAACTTGTCTACATAACAATAAAGGAATTATTTTAAGGTAAAACTCACAAGATCAAGGAGGATGGGAGAAGAAGCAACAGCAACAAAATTTTAAAAGCTGGAAATGAGATGGACAAGTAGTAACTAACCTAGCAGACTAAGAAAAGGGAATCACAATAAGGATAGTCATGAATCAACCACACTGACAATACAAAAACAACAAAAGGCTCAAAATTTCATTGTGCCAGGTACCTCTAGGAGTAGGGGGTGAAGATACAGTTGAAAAAGTGGGTTAGGCTGAAAATTTTTAAGAAGTTTGACCTTCTAAATCTTCTCCCCCAAGCCAATAGACTAGAATTTTGTTTTCTGGTGAGAGAACAAAAAGAATGTTGAACTGAGTGAATGTTGAGGTTAGAAGGATGTAGAAAAGAAAGGGATTAAGTGAATAATTACATATAGAATGTTGAGCCCTTGTGAGAGACAGTTATTTCCCAATATCTATTTTTCCTTTCTATTGTAGTAATAGAACCCAGATAGAACCCTGATTTTTGATTATTTATGTATTTGTTAGTGCACAGCCACCAAAATAAAAACCAAAATGATCAATGTCCCTTACAGCTAAAAATGCTCATGTGATGACATTCTAGTCAATGGAAAATGAACAGAAGCAATGAGTGCAACTTCCATGTAGAGACACCAAAGGGAAGGCACTTGTCTTTCAGAAGGCGCAGTGGTGAGCTATCTTGGACCATGTCAATCAGTATAATACTCCAGGAATGAAAGGATTAAGAAGCAGCTTAGATTCCTAGCTAGCATCACAGATTCACTATACCAGTTCTGGGCTGCTGACTCTCAAAATGTTATATATGACAAATAAAGTGTTTAGGTATATTCATAATGTATCAAGCAAGAACCACCAGACTTGCAAAAGAAATAGAAGTAAATTGACAGTTGTAATGGAAAATTTGTAAATATTTTTTATTGATTGATTTTGGAGAGAGAGGAAGGGGGACAGATAGAGAGTAATATCGATTTGTTGTTCCACTTTATTTATTTGTGCATTCATTAGTTGATTCTAATATGTACCCTGACCAGGGATCAAGCCTGCAACCTTGGTTTATCAGGATGACACTCTAACCAACTGAGTTATCTCAGGCCAGGGCTGAAGCTGAAATTTTTTTAAATTTATTTTTAGCGGAGGTAGAGGAAGTGAGCCAGCTGGGATGCTTGGACTCGGAAAATGAGGTACAGAGGCAGAAAAAGGGCCCCTGGAGCTTAGGAGAGAGAAAGGCAAAGGTGCATGCTTGAGGGAAGGAAGCAGGGGAGAAGGTGTGGGGTGAGCATAGGGTGAGAGGGGGAGAGAAGGTGAAAGAGATGTAGCTGAAATTTTCAATGCATATCACTAGGAAATAATTATAACAAAAGTAATCAGAGATACTTAAGACATAACACTATTAGTATGCTTAAATGACTGCATATATATAGAAATCTATATTCAAAAAACAGCAAATACATATTATATCCAAACATCTTAGATCACTTGCAAAAATGGACCATATATTAGGCCTCAAAGAAAGCCTGAGTAAATTCCAAAAAACCATTATCATGATTAAATCACTGTCTTTTCCAACCACAAAGCTTTATTGCATTGCAAATTAACTTTCATATATAGTATAAATAACACTATAAATTGCCCTTGGGTTTCAAGAAATCATGAAGTTAAATACTTAGAAGTGAGTGATAATAAATATGCTGCTTCTCACTCTGCACTTTTTCACAGCACTTCTTCCAAATGTAATTAATTATGCAAGCACATTGAAGGAGGTCTCAAGTAGACTGTAAAGACCCATGCGCCTTGGTTACAGCTACACCCCCAGGGTCTGGTACTGTGCCTAACCCATATTTAAGTACACAATAAATATTTGTTCAATGAAGAATAGTGGTTTGATTGGAAAATTAAAGTAAGTTTTATGTGATTGGAGTTTAGAGGGATTTTCAAAAAACCCTCCTAAAATCTCAGTGGCCTCTAATGGGACTATTAAGTATTAAGATAGAACCTTAGGTACAG